TACAGTAAGTACTTCTAAAAAATTACAAATGAATTCTCAATATTTAATGCAGATAGTCTTTTTAATTTTCCCACATAACAGAAAATAGATCACAAGTATGTTCATATCTATGATGGAATAGTCACTACTTTACTTACATCCTTCTGAAGTTATGTTGGGGAGATTAACCATTAATATGAGATAACTTTTAAAAACTGATATTTTGCATCTTGCTATAGTTCTATTGAACAGGTTGGACAATAATAGTAGGGTAAACATTAAGAGAGAAACTGATAGTTGATGAGGACTATAGTAACGTGGACATTTGAGTGAAGTTGAGCCCTTACAGAAAACACATGTCTCCTAATTTAGCTTACATTTTAAATGTTAGGCCTCAGCCAGCTTTTACTAATCTATAGTAATAATTTTTAAGTAAGAATTCAGCTTAAATAGATTTTGAGACATACTAAGAAAATAAAATTATAAAACTCACAGTTAAAAATGAATCTTATCTACTGTCTTTACAAGGGACATTAGGACATAAAAGAATTACACAAATGTCTAGCCACCTTTAATTATTTCTTGGTAATCAAGATAAAACCTATTAAATATTTTACTATTAAATATACTACATTGAACCATACACATAGGTTTAAATCTGAATCAAGGATAAATAAGTATGACATGAATAAGGTCGGTTTGATTTATATTTCGCTCCCAAAGATAATTTCTTATAATGGTCCAAGTGCATGACCACTACAACTGAATTAATGTGTGTATTCATTTACACAAATTTCTTTGCATTCTCTAAGTATTAAATTTAACAGTGAAAAGCTAGACCCTTCAAAAACATGTATGTCCATAATTAAATGGCAGAAGCCTGATTTGTTAAAATGATAAATGGTTTATCAAAGCAGACAGTGTCAGATCTGTAAATGTGATTTATGTGCTCAAACAGTTCAAACATATACTTAGTGTATATGTGTGGTGGGGGGTGATATTACAAAATGTCTTTCAATAGACTGTCAGAGTCACTATTAGCATACATATTTAATTCTTGATTTGCTATTTGACATGTACTTATTCTGATGACAAGAGTAGAATGAAGGATTTAGAACAAAAGTCCAGTTAAATTTTTTCGTTAGGCCATTAGTTAATATGGTCATTCATACTTCAAAGTAGTGATACTGGTAGATCTTATTAATTTAAGGTATCTTTATCTTCTGGCTACTGACAGTGACACGAACCCAAGAAGGTAGGTAATGTGTTAAAAGTCAGTCAAATCGGTTGTTTATTGCTAGAGCTGCCAATTGAGAATACGATGTCTAATAAGGCAAATTAGTTAAGGAAGAGGACTGTAAAAAACTGTTTTCTTTCCTTAAAGCACAAAGAACATATATTACACACATGTAATGTTGTTATTTATTTCACATATTGGGACTGTATTAATACTTTACACTCAGTCATGTCCCTTGTCTTATTATTCAGAAACACTAGTATTCTCTTCATTTGCCAAACCAGAGAGAATAAAAATACTCACTTGCTTGTTCTCTCACCCTCTCCTTACAATGACAAAGTTTTAAAAAGCTGCACGATGCTATTAGGTGGTAATGTTCCTATTACAATTACCACTTCTAAACAACAAGTTGGCAAAACTGAAACATCGTATTTTACTCTGACATAACTGTTTAACTTGAAACTAATGCACATTAAGTTAAAAAGTTAAATGCATCTCAATATTCTTAGTGGTAAGATATCAAAACACATCTCAACCAAAATCAGAATTTCATCTTTATGCCTATTCTTAAATACAAAAAAAAAATTAGGTAGTGTATTGGGTGATTTATGAGTAATATTTTTAAAAGCAAAATTACCTTGAACATGATCTTGAACAATATACATAGCAAATCCCCAACTGCATTTTTTAAATATTTTATTCATTTATTTTTAGAGAGATGGGAAGGGAGGGAGAGAAACATTGATGTGCAAGAGAATCATCATGTGTGAAAGAAACATCAGTTGGTAGCCTCTTGTATGTGCCCAGTTGGGGACCTGGCCTGAAACCCAGGCATGTTTCCTGATTGGGAATTGAACCGGCAATCTTTCAGTTTCCTGGATGATGCCCAGCCCACTGGGCCATCCGAGTCAGGGAAAAATCCCCAACTGTTTTAAGAGGGGAGTATCAAATCATCAGAAAAGCAATATTACAGCCCATGGATTCCCACTAGATCATTGTATTAGGAGGCATTACATTTCCAAGTACTTTGGCAAATTCTTATACACATGTAGTATCACACCTTTCAAATATATTCAAAGCAATAAGGAAGCCTATAAATTATTTAAGGTAAGTGATTCAGTTTGCAGATCAATTTATACCCCCCCAAATATTTTAAGCTGATACATCTCTTCTTTAAGAGAGAACTTTCACTTGTTAAAAACCACACAAAAGTATGCACCCACAAATGATGTCATGTCCTCTTTTAGGTAGGAAGGTTGGGAAATGCCACCATCAGAGCCTCTAAACTCATTTCCTCCATTCTGCAATGATTGTTAAAAGAATATCAGCCAAGTTAAAAACTTGCAGAGATGTCGGATTCAAGCAATGACTGAGCTGAAAAGACAGAATACTCATGTTTCAACATCCTTTCTACTAGTCCTCTATTCCCATTCATAAAAGAAATGAAATAGGAAAAAATGAAAATAGGAAACAAAAAGAAGGCAGAATTCAACTTCTTATATGTAGGCTCACAAGCATACCTGGGTGACTTCAAAGCCTGTAATTAGCTGCATGCTAATCAATAAACAAGTTTCTATTATGCATTTACTAGTTTTCCCACAGTGAGCTAAGGTCTCCATATATGAGACACACCCTGTCCCACTCTGGACTTGAGGATCTAGAATTAATGTGCACCGGCAGTGCTGTACTTCCTTTGGAAAAGCTTTTCTTCCTCCCCAAACCTGATCTGAGACACAGTGCCTTGTAAGCTCTGGATGAGTAGCCCCATATGGGATGAATATCACAGAAATGGTAAATTAAAAGCAGTTATTTAAACAAGCAGAAGCAGACAGGTAACAGTGGAGCTGAAGGTGGGCAAGGGCATAAGATGTGAAATCCAGGTTTGTGGCAAACACTGTGGAGAAATGCACTTATGTCCAAAGCCAGCCCTCATCTATGAACATTCTCCAAATTCATACGTCTCTGAAGTCACTCAAACAGGATTTCAATATTAAGGTCCTAATTCTGCTGGAGAGGAGGAGTTTGTGGAGATCAGGGATAAGGGAAGATTTGTAATTAGATGCAAAAGTCAAGAGGAGCAAAAGAAAGGATGGGCAAAAAGACAAGGAGAATGATTTGGGAAGGGGAGAGGTCCAAAGTCAGTCATCAATAGATTGACCTTACTTTCCAATGTTCTCAAACCAGCAGGTTTCTTTAACACTAGAGGGCATAAATGCAAACACACACACACACACACACACACACACACACACACGGTGGGTAGCAACCTTGAGCAAAGGCAGCCTTCGCATAAAGCCAAAGATTCGAGGGCCCGAAGGAAACACAAAATTTCAAGGGGCAACCTAGTGTCTTTACCTTGCCAGTAAAATCTCTGTCCTGTTTCTGGGAGGAGTGACCGCGAGCTCTCCCAAGCAAACCGCTCAAGGACTGAGTGCAATGGCAGTTTAAAGCAGGCAGTTCCCCAATGCTCTGCTCCTCTGCTAGTAACACCTTTGCCTCACGAAAGCTCCCACCCTTTCGAGATTAGTTTCCCCTGGATCTCTACGCTTCGGGGTTTGTCTGCCCACTGTCTCTTCCCCTGCGGCTGCCTGTAAAGGCTGGAGGTGTAGGCTCGAGGTAAGGGGAGGGGCGCCCGCAGCTTTCGCTGTCCAAACCAGCAGCCTCTGTGCGCTGGGGCTGGCAGCACCGCTGAGCCCTCGAACCCCGAGAGGAAAGGCTGGCCCTTGCGCCCTGTATTCATTCAGTCCCTCGACTTCACAGCCCAGACAGGGGCAGGCTGCTTCAATCCCCGCATCCCCTCTGGACCCCAGCAGGGAGGTCTCTGTACCTGAAGGTGCCCAGAAGGGGGACCAGGTTGTGGTCCCCTGGCCAGCGCGCCTCCTCGGGATTTGGGAGCTGGCGTTCGGGGAAGACGAGGCAGGGCAGATGAGAAAGGGAGATGAGATAGGAAGCGAAAGGCAGAAACGGAGAAAAATACGGCAAGACAGGGAGACAAGCTGAAGAGGTAGAATAATAGGGACACAGAGACGACCCAAGAAAGCCAGGGAGAAAGACGGAAACCCGGAGGATTGGGGGAGCCGGATCCAGAAAGAAACCGAGTCAGAGACAGAATGAAAGGCAGAGGGGCACTCAAAGAGACAAGCAAAGGGAGGAGAAAGAGGAAGGCGACCGTCGAGGAAGACACCCGCGATCCAGAACGTCCCCGGGGTCGGGCAGTGTAAAAGCATTTGTGCACCGCAGCCCCCGGTCGCCCGCAGCTCGCGGGGAAAAGTTGCCGGGGTGGAAATGCCGAACTGCCCCTCCGCCAAGCGTCACCAAGACGCCGAGGGGTCCAGCGCTCCCACCCCCTGATCAGCGGGGTAACTGAGAAAGCGGGGTAGAGGGTGGCCGGCGGCACAAAGTTCCGCGCCCGGTGCCTCGCGGTCCCCCCTCCGCACCTGCAGCGGCGGGAGCCTGCGCTCCGAGAGTCGGAGAGCTCGGAAAGCCCTCGCCCGTGCGCCCGCGCCCCTGCCCCAGGACCGGTCCGGGGTGTCGGACTCCGCTCCCCGCCACTCGCTGCAGGACTTTGCGGCGCCCACCCGGGCACTCTGGCCGCCCAGAGGTGACTCGCCCCGGACAATTACAAGGAAGAGAAGGGGAGCAAGAGAGACGGAGACCTGCTATCGTAGCCAAGGATCCCGCGAAGAGGGAACGGCGGTCCACGCACGTAATTCTGCCTCCAACCCAGCCAGGCAGGCGCTGGCCAGCCACGCGGAGTGCCGGGCGCGCCGAGCCCGGAGCTCACCTGAACCCGGGCCGGCCCGCGAGTACCGCGCGTACAGCCCGGCTCCCGCCTGCGCCTCTCTCTTCACACTTCCCCGCGAGCACAGCGAGCCGGCTCCGGCCTCGGCCAGCCCCAGAGAGGCGCCCTCATAGCGCAGCGGCGGGCTCGAGGACTCCGTGAGCGCAGCGAGAGCAGGCGCCGAGGCCGAGAAGGCGCAGGAAACCGAACGGGGGCTCCTAGCACATTGTCACCTCAGCAGAGCCGCCGCTGCCGCCGCCTGGTCACTTCGCCCCCGGCCCCCGCCCCCCTCCCACCCCAGCCCGCTCACTCCCTCCCAGCCCCTCCTCCTCGCGCGGTCCCTCCCCCTCCCGCAGACCCAGCCAGGAGGCCTTTCACAGGGCTAGTATCGTTTACGTAACCAGCACCCCCAGCCCTCCTCCCTCCCTCCCTCCCTCCCTCCCAGCTCCTACTCCTCCCCGGGCTGGGGTGGTGTGCGCTGCGCTCGCTTCTGCCGCTCCCGGAGCCGCGGCTCGGGCGCTGTGCACAAGTCCCGCGATACTTGGCAGGCACGGCCTCGAAGGGCAAACCGTGGGGTAGGCTCCTCTTCTGCCGGAGCGCCCCGCGACCCTGGCCGCGACGGCGCCCCACCGCGCCAAGCCGGGCACCCGGGAACCTCGCGGAAGGATGTTGGGAGGTCGAGAATGCCCTCGGGGAACGCGTGGACTACCGCACCGCAGCCGTCGGCTCTGCAGTGGAGGGATGCTGCGGGGCCCTGGAGGTGTGGGCGCTGTGGAACGGAACAGGGAAAGAGTTTGGCCTCTTGTCCATTACACTTCGTACACCCTGCCAGGGTCCTAGTGTCCTGGTTGGTGACAAAACTGGGAAAGCAAAGCGCTTCCTTGTGCTCCTAGATGTTTTAGGAAGTGGTAAAGTAAAAAGTGAATCTTTGAATTTCTTTTCGATCGGGAAGCTATGATCTCTCTGTCTCTCTCTCTCTCTCTCTCCCCCCCCCCGCCCCCCCCCCACCAAGTACCTGAATGCTTGCATTTCAAAAATAAAGTTAATGGGCAATCTAAGTGAGGTTAACATGTAACGTAGCAGAAAGGCCTCGTAGTAAATGAGTTAAAATAGCGTATGTAAGGATTTTAGAACAGTGCCTTGCACAAACCACAGACTGAAGACTCAGTATTAGCATCTGAGGACGTGGACCTACCCCCCACTGCCATGTGGGAGGGACTCTTCTAGGAAATTTGGATTGCTAAATTCAAGTCCCTGTTTTGTCATTTATTCACTATTGACTCGTGGTTAGTTTTGGCCCTTGGCTTTCTTCATTCTCAGTTTTCCTGTTTGTAAGAGAGAGTAAAATAAGATTGTTTTCTTCATTCACAGTGTCACTTTACCTCTTTTAACTCCCTCTTCTTAGTTTATTTAGCAAAACTGGGGGAGGATATATTAGCTACTTCAAAAATGTTAAGAGCTACATTGTACAAACATTATTCATTATAATCAGTGAGGTTATTGATATTCATAAAACGCAATTTCTAGTGATGTTATCCATATACCTTTTAGTGAAGCAATTATCATCTAAACAGGTATGATAACTATATTTAATATCTCCACCTACATTGTCCATCCTGCCACCCCCTCCCACTATCAATTATGAAGCATCTACCAGAGATGTTTCTATGCATGTGTGAGGACACCTGGTGCCACTCATAACGCCAGGGACACTCTGCAATTTCTCTCTATTGTTCCCTCTTGTGAGTTATAGTTCTGCCATCAGGCTACTCACCTCTGCATGGAAAATTGAAAAAAGCTAAGGACCACAGGTAAAAGACTTGGGTTTGAATGTTGGCACACCATTTGGTAGATATATATGCTTTAAAGAATGTAATACCTAATCTTTACATTCTTCACCTCTAAAAAATGTAGCAGTGCCATTTTTTCAATCTTTGTAGTAATATCTAACTAAGACAAGAATCATAAATCTAGTGGGTAAAATTTATGTGTAACAACAAGATATTGACCTCATCTCAAAGTCGCCCTCTGGGAATCATTAGCTTTTGCTTTATAACACACTAGCCCAAAACTCAGTGGCTTAAAACAATAAACTAAATCTATAATTTCTCAAGGTTCTGTGGATTGTCTGGGTGATTTTCTGCTCTGGCTGGCTCAGTTTGGGCTGGATGACCTAGCATGGCCTCACTCACTTGTCTACAGGTTGGCAAACTAATTGAGGGTAGGGCTTCAGACTGGTCTGTCTTCCTTCAGTAGGCTAATCTTGTCTTCTTGAGTAGTGGTAATTGCAAGATTCCAAAAAGCAACAGTGGAGTGCAAGCTCCAATTTAGAGTGCTTTTCAAGGTTCTGTCAACACACATTTCCAATGTCCCATTAGCCCAAGGAAGTTATATAGCCAAGCCCAGAATCACAGTTGGGGTAATATAGTCCATGTCTTGAAGGGAAAAACTGAAAAATTGTATTGCAAAGAAGAAGGCACACACAACTGGGAACAACTTGAGACCATTTTCATAATCTACCAGATGTTCTTCTTAATCACCAGAAAATGAAAAATTCCTTACAGTGAATAAAGCTGATAAGCATTACCTTAACCAAATGATCAAGGTTACAATCACCAATAATGGGACCAGGTGACATCATGAGGTTCATAATGTAATGCACTAAGATTTACTCAATAATACTTATTTAGTATTCCAGACCAAAAAAAAATGCATAATTGACTGCAATAATGAGGAAGCCAAAGATAAATTTAAATTGAGAGAAATACCACAAAATATCTTCTCTGTACTTTTCAAAAATATCACTGATGAAAGTCAAAGAAAGGCTAAGGAACCATTCCAGACTAGAGGAGCTTAAAGAGACATGACTACCAAATGCAATGTGTAATCCAGAATTGGATATTGGGCTAAGAAAATGAATGCATCTGTAAAGGACATTATTAGTACAATTGGTAAAATATAAACAAAGTCTGTATCTCATCTATATGTCTTTTATTTATGTTAAATTAAAATTCATTTTATATCAATGTTAAATATCCCTAATTTTGATAATTTTACTGTGATTAATGAGTAAAAGGCATATTAGCTTCAATTTATTCACAATGTTTCAGGAATACCTCTAGAGAGAATGATGAAAGAAGTGTGAAATATTTTTAACAGTTGGTAAATTTTGATTAAGGGTACAGGGGAATTTCTTGTAGTAATTTTGGAACTTACTTATATTTGAATTTATTTTTCAAATAAGGAGAAACAATCTTGCTTATATCACAAGAAGATTAAATGCAATAATTTATGTGGATGAGTGTTGAAATTAGTAAAAATTTATGTTGTACTTTTTCCAAATAGAAAGCTAGGAATTGATCTTTAACTAGTGAAGAATTATTCAAATATTTGTTTAGATAAATATGAAGACCAATGTTGTTCAATTAATTGGCTATAAGATGTAGAACACCTTAGATGGGAATATACTAAAGATAAAAATATAAGTTTAGCAGGTACAATTGACTTGATTAACCAAGGCCCACATTAAAATGGAAAAAAGGGGGTGATATATCTAGATGACAGATAATAGATAGATAGACAGATAGATATGGTTGAAACTAAAATGTTTGTGGCAAATTATTAGCAACAATGGAGAAGGAAAGGGTGTTATATAATGTTTAGAGTTTAATATTGGATATAAGAGAATGGATATACTATTATTAAGAGAAACAGAAAGCAATAATTTTACTTTCTAAAATGAAAATCTAATAATACTTATTTCTAATTATAATACCTCAGTGAATTCTCATTGCTTTTAGAAAATAGCCTAAAATCCTTAATAAACCTTAAAAGTACCTTTATGATCTAGACCTTGCTTACCTCTTTAATACTTACAATGAGCTAAGCACTGGGACAGGATAAAAAGAAAAACAAAAACAGCCCTCATGGGATATAGAGACTTAAGAGTCTAGTCCTTTATCTGTAGAATATGTATTGAGTGCTTACAGCATGCCCTGGGAATGTGAGCAAAAAGACTCTGCTTTCATGAATGCTACATTTCAATGTGGTATGTACTAAGCAAATAAGCAAATATGTACTTATATCTGGTGGTAATAAATTCTCAGAAGAAAGTCGAAACAGGCTAAGAACTGATCTTTCCAACTAGTGTGTTATAAAATATTTACAGATATCCCTTGATACAGTAATCATCTCAAACATCAGGAGTGGCCAAGCAGAGTAACCTCAAGTTGTCAGAGTTTAAAACGAGGTAGTCTCTAGTCATACAAAGCTTGTTCAGGGCTCTTTGGAGGATGGCCTAAGCAAGTGGGGACTGAGAGTATGTTCCATTCTTTCTGAAAGTAGCATAAAGAGGTACCTACTTCTGCACATCTACTTCAGCATTCAGCTACAGGCCACTGGCAAGAGCTCATGAAATGGCTTGAGGATTTTTTTTTCAGGGTGCAAGGAGCATTGTATGTAGTTTAAAGCTCAGCACATTACACATAGGGGAGCAAAGAGTTTGGGCAGAAACTTCTAGTGAGCACAGCTCTAATAGATGACCCAAATATCTAGCAATATAAATATAAGGTAATTCTGTTCTGTATGCTGCTTATTTTCTATTTCTGTGTTAACCATGTCAGCTGTAGATTGTTTTAACAATGCTTAAACATTCTTCAAATGCAAGTTTTATAATTATTTTAAATTTTCTGGTAAAAATTTTTAACAGATTTGAAATCCATTTATATCCATAAAAACTCAAAATTATAATTATTAATTAAAAAGAGAGCTGACATATTTTAAATGTCATGTCAATTGATATTTTGGCCCTAAAAATAAAGGTTTGAAATCTTTTACACCTACTTGTACAAACAAATTTTCTCAGTCTTGATGATGATAGACTATATCATCATGTAAAGTGTAATGATCTGCAAACATTATAACAATTTCAAGTATATACTCAGTTATTAAATGTTGAAATCCTAGAGGCAAGATTTCACTAATATATATTTTTAAATATTTTATTTGGAGGTCTTATGCAATCTGGTAAACCTTCTCTTCTTTAATATATTGTTTTTACAATAATAATTTAATAATTTGAAGAACATATAATTAACTTTTAACCAAACTTCATATTAATATACTCATATTTGCTCTATTTTATCTCAAGATTCATGAAGTCCTGTATCCTTCTTAGTGCCTAATACAATTGAAAATTTATATTTTTCCATATTTGTGTGATTGATGTCTGTCTTCTCCAAAGTACAGTAGAAAACACCGGAGTAAAGTTT